TCTTATTATCCCATAGCTAAGCAATTTCTTGTCACGCCTCTTATTTATCAGATCCTGAACCCTCTGTGACATCTGGTTCGTCATGCTCTGGAGTTTTTGAAAATCATCCAAAATGCGAACCCTACCTAGATCCTTCCTTAATCTATACTTGAGATCTATGAACTTAAATAGCTTACGCCTCTCCGTCTAGTAACATTCCTCTAATTTCTAGATGGAGGTGTGACAAGGTAATTCATTAACTGTGTCCGAATGACACTTGCTCATTAGATTGCATAATCGTAGAAGGATACCATAATATTTACAACAATTTAAAAAGGCCAAATTTGGGGTTGCTGCATAAACACGCAAACACGCATCCATCAATCTGTAACAAGACACAGGACTACTGGATCATACTCTAGTTTATTTACATTGACAAAAGTTGCAACCACATCTGCTCCCCTGCCTGCATTACTTTGATCCACTTACGTGCATGTAGGACAAGCATACATCAGCCAGCCAAATCATGGAAAGCCTCATTAAGCTCGCAAGTAAGTAGAATCTCAGCTGGCTACCCTTTCTAGGTCTAGTGTTTTTCGATGATTTTCGTGAATAATGGTTTATGGCTCTGACGATGTCGGTCCCAGGACGAACGAAAAGTCAGCACGCAGTCATCGGGGTCGTAAGACAGTGATCCGAGGTTTTCTTCGCACAATTCAACAGGAAAAAGTCCAAGGCAACCCTCCTGCGATATCCGGTGAGGCCAATCAAAAGAAATGAAAGTTACGCCAGTATCAATCTATTAAAGTAGTCTTTAAAACCCAGCTTCTCTTCATACATTACTTATTTTTCGTATATAACTGGATGCTCAATATTGCTAGTAGATCATATAGATATGAGACGTGTTCACCCTACTTTGTTAAGTTGATGAATAACTGGAATGTTCTACAAGTCTTCCCAGTCGGTCTGACCAAGTTTTGAAGGCTAGGCCAAACCAGAATGGTACAGCTAAGGGTTACTGTGACCAAACTTAAGGCAGCATCGTATTGTTCTTCTTATCTTCCATATCACCTAAGGAACCTGATCGATAGATAAACTAATGGGCGTTCTTTAAATATGTCCAGGTGCTCAATAAATAAGGGAGCTCTCTGGATGTGTTTACGAAACGAAACTTTTTATTAATCTATCTGATGTATTTTTATGAATCCCCCTACGAGAGAGGCGATTAAAAATATCAAATGTTGCTAGCTCGCTCGAATGGCTGTGGCGACACGATGTTGTGCAGCCATGCATAAATATTGCCTCCCTCTGACTATCAAGTACAGAATTATACTTGAATCAACATTTAGCATCCATAAGTTAGGAAGGACTATTTGCTGAGTAAAAGTGAGCGTAAAAGAGGTTGGTAGGCAGACGAGTAGAGTTAAAATACGACGCTTTTTATAGGCCTGGCAAAAGTATTTCGTGATTTATAACTTAAGCTAAAATTATATTAAATATTAATCCGTAACGTAAGTACAACTATACGAATATTATAAAGCAATTATTTGGATTTCATTTTCCATACAAGAGCGATTGTCCTCATATTTATCTAGGATCATGAAGGACTGGCAGTTTAATTTTCCCACGATGACATGAGTAGACCTTACATTTACATTGAATTCCACATAGCCTAGCCTCCTTTGAAGTATTCTCATCCAGCGTGGATTGCAGTTTCGACCACGCCCCGCTATCTGCACCCTCAGCTGGTCGCGAAGCCGGTTAGTGCAACGTATAGACTCGACATACTAACCAATATAGATCTTATATTAAATCGAAATATAGTCTCGAAAACCATCTTATAAAAGAAAAGTGTTGGTTTGACCTCGTTTTTGCAACCTGGTCAGTGCACAGATATCAAACCAACACTCAACAACTAATGGAGACTGCAGCCAAACAAAAAGCCACACCAGTTTGTCTTTCATATCTCCGTCATTCACAGAAAATTAATTTATTTTTTATACTATGCGGGTCACAATATTTCTCAACGAATCATTATTAAAAGGTAAGCAATACAACTTACTCGAACCCATGCCTGAGAGCCTAATGCCTCTCGATGATTGTAGTGAGGCAGATCTATCTATTCACTTGAGAAGAAATGCGGCCTGCCGACTTTAGATCAAGCCACTCTACAGGCATTTCGTCCACGTGGGGATGCATGTGGCGGCCTCAGCTCATAGGATCATTTGCTAAGACTGGGAGAGAACTAAGATAAAGAGCACAGTCTTGCAAATGAAAGCCGTTGAAAGCGCTTTGATGATGGTACCGGCGAAGGCTGCTTTGTGGTAGTCTGCTTCGGCAAAGCCTGTTGACTTGTCGGCCTAGCTAGTGTGGCCATGCCAACACCAGCTGCGGAACAGACAAGCGGGAAAATCGATAGAAGAGATAAGACATGATTGAGTATGAGCCCAGTGTGAAACCATGAGGACTGCGATTTCCCTCAACAGGACGGTTCAGAGGCGTATGCCAGCCAGATCCAATCAGGCGACAAAAATCCGTGAAATTCACTCGTCTACCCGCATGTACGTGCGCAAATGCGTGCGCACCCTCGCACTCAGGCTGACAGAATGTATTACGTTATTCGTCTGCAATTTGTCTATACATTTGACAAATGTTCTCTCTTATCCTTATCTATCATTGCCTCTCACGTCCATCATTTTATAAGCGTATAACTGTGAGGGTGCCTTTCAGGCAGCCACGAATCTCTTGTCTTCTGCCCAGACGGCTCAAGCGCGTATGAACAGTGAACGTTGAAGTTACGCCAAGATTGAAGAAATTTTTTGCACTAATTTAAGCGGTGCAATCGCTGTGCCGGTTGTTCGAGGTGACGTCTCTGAGGCAAGTTGCTTCTAGCAACTTGTCTGGTCGATGCAGACAGCAAATACAGGTCGATAGGATCAGAAGTACTGTCTGCAAGGAGCGTCTGCCATTTTGTCGCCGCCTCTGGTTGCCCTGGTAATGGTGTACATGGACGAGCTTCCGACAACCAAGTTTCCGGACCAGCAAAACGGTTCTTGAGACCAGCTTGGCAAAAGCGTGGCTATGCATAAAATGAATTAGTTCGTATAGAAGCGTTATGCAGCTTCAGCAAACATCAGCATCGATATTTGGTTGGGTCTGGCCTGAGTAGCCATTTCTAATGCTTCATCATGTTGCTTGTGAGGGGCTAAATTCGATACAAAAAATGGTTCTCCATGCTTAACTCGCATTAGGCTGAGTTCCCTATGATGTCGTGTTTGACGTTTAGAGTGGGTTGTCAGACCTCAAAACTATATTACATCTTCACGATGGGGTCTTAAGACAAGTCTCGTTTTGACTCTTTGTGTCGCTTAAGAACCACGAGGTAGTATGCGAAGAAAAGTTGGGTTTCGCGGAATCTCTTGTTTCATAAATGTTGAGCTTACTTCCATTTAGAGTGAAAGTGTTGGGTGAAGAGATTCGAAGGTCGGTTTCGTTGAGCTGACTTCCATTTCGAGTGAAAGTGTTGAGTGAAGCGATTCGACGGTCGGTTCCACCAGAAGACGACTTGAGCTTACTTCCACTTCGAGTGAAAGTGTTGGGTGAAGAGATTCGAAGGTCGGTTCCACCAGAAGACGACGGTAGCTTACTTCAATTTCGAGTGAAAGTGTTGGGTGAAGGGATTCAATGGTCAGTGCCACCAGAAGACGACGGCCTTCCATTTCGAGTGGAAGTGTTGGGTGAAGAGATTCGAAGGTCGGTTCCACCAGAAGACGACCAGCGACGGAGCCTCTTGACCAGCTGTCGATTGGCTTTACTGGAAGATTCATGCTGACGCTGTTTCCGAGGCAATCTCCATCGATTCCGGTAAAAAGGTGCTAAGCTTTCGTTCGTCACAAGCGAACACAAACAGGTACATACAAATACAGAGACAGACACACTCACACTTATCGAAGTTGACATATGACCTTAACTAATTAAATCACTTTATACTTTATCAAATAGGCCAGATGTAGAGTATATATACCAATTTTTTAGGAGTTGCCGGTGAGTTTTCTTGACTCAGCTTGAATTTTGTTGTGACGATGTTACCTCGCTCTGATGATGTTCTC